TGTTGTGGCTGCGCGGAGTGGCAGCAAGTTACAGCAGCTGTGTCCTCATTGTGTTCTTTCCCGTGTTTCTATGAAGTTCTGTTCCTATGGTGTTATGTTGGTTGTTCTCTATTGCTGCTGTAACACAGAAATTTCCCCATTGTGGGATCAATAAAGTACCTACTCTACTCTTACTCAATTTCCAGTCAGTTTAAAGGCCAGGAGCTTTCGGAGTAACTACACATAAACCAGTCTCCTTTAGCAGCGTCATCTTTAAGCTCTCTGAACAGTCTTCGAGTGGAGCATCTTTCTTTGAATACACACTGTCTCATTCATTTTACATCTGGAGTTCAAATAATTAATTGATCAGTTGGTCAACAGAAAATGGACTGGGGGAAATTTACTGAGAACTAATGAAAGTCTTTTTTACGAAAAAGTTCCATAAATTCTCTTCAGCAAAGTCAAACTGAATTTTTTTTTGTGTTCTGGGCTGTTGGTTGAACAAAACGAGATGATATCAAGCTGGACTCTGGCCAGCAGCAGCTATACTTCATCAAGCAGCTCAGGAAAGCTGGGCTGAACCGTCGCCCTCTCACCCAGGCTTATAGAGGACTGGTAGAGAGCATCCTCATCACTGGCATCACAGTCTGGTATGGTAACACTACACAGTCAGAGAGGAAGGCTCTTCAAGGGGTCATAAAGACTGCAGAGAGGATCACTGGGACTGAACTGCCTGCTATGGACACACTGTACACACAGTGCTGTCGTAAAAGGGCAGAGAACATAATCAGGGATCCACTCCACCCAGCTCACACTCTGCTCAGACACAAAAACTGCACCTACAGCCTCAGGCACAGCAGGGCGGACAGTATCATCACACCCAGAACAAGACTTTACAACAACTTTTTCCCTGCCACAGTAAAACTGATGGCAAATACAAAAATGTGAGAATACATGTGCAATAACCCCTTATTACCCTACTAAGTAGAAGACCATATACAATTACACCATGTGCAATATTTGAAACTCCCAATTTTACCTGTTATTTTATTCTTATATCCACAAATTTATCAACTATTTTATTCTTATGTAATTGTATATTTAGACTAGGTGTTCGTTTTTGGCTTTTAGCGCTTTACTTGACTCCAAAGGAGAGCTGCACAAAAATTTCTATATGCCTGGACTGTCTGTTTATGCATAAATGGCAAATAACAAACCTTGAATCTTGAAGTGTGACACCAGAGACCAGAGTACTTTGTCAGCACAGAAGATGTCAGGGTTGAATCTGTGATGGTAGGACGCAGTGCAACCAAACTGAGACAGCAGCGTTATGCTAACATCAGCAGCTCAGATATTTCAAAATAAAAGAACCCATCCATTCATTATCTACATCACTTATTCCTGAACATGGGCATATGGGGCTGGAGCCAAACCCAGCTGACCCTGGGTGAGAGGCAGGGTCCACCCTAGACAGGTCTCCAGTCTGTCACAGGGCTGACATGGAGACAAACAACCACACTCACTCCTACGGGCAGTTTAGTCACCAATTAAACTAAGCTGCATGTCTTTGGGCTGTGGGAGGAAGCTGGAGAGAACCCACACAGGCACAGGTAGAACATGCAGACTCCACACACAAAGGCCCCGGGTCGGCCTGGGGCTTGAACCCAGAACCTTCTGGCTGTGAGACGACAGCGCTAAACCACCGCTCCAGAATAAAAGAGCCTCACCTCAAAAAGTAGCAGGCAGCAAGACATTAACCTGTTTTAAATCAGGGCCCTGCTCACTGTCTATATTTACAGTAAAGGAAGATATTAACATGAATAAGCCAGTATCAGTCTGCAGCCCTTAGTACCAGCCTGTGCTAACTGGTAGTATCGGCCTATATAAGGATCTCCCAGCAGCTCATTCTGTATGAATGCAGGGCAGCATCCTCATTAATACACTGAAACAAAGCACCTTTTCCATTTCAAGACGCTGGCTTCTTCCTTCACAGCCAGCAGTCGTGTTTATACTCTGGAAATAAATGTGTTGTCATTACATTCCTGCAGCCCGCAGACATGGAAAGAGTCTGTGCACAGCTATGTGAGGCATGTGAAGCTGGAGCTGGCAGTCACATGACTGAGTGGAGGTGGAGCTACTCTAGGACCAGGAAGTGGAAGCATGTTTAAGATCACACCACCTGCTGGTGATCGACAGTGTACTTTTAAGATTCATTTTATTCTTACTCTTTTGACAAAAAATGATCAATTATCAGTCAACTTGGGAAATGCCATCAGAATTTGGGTGAGTGTTGTTAAATGGTGGTGCGGGGCTAAAACAGTCGGCATGTATCAATTCTGCAGGTTAGAAGAAGAGTTGTCTCTGGGACTGGGATGTATGTAACAGATGAGAGTCACAAACTGGGACAAAGAAACACTACTACCCAAAATGCTTAGCAGAGAAATCAGGGAACTGTGCGTTACTCTTCACTATTGTCATGATTCAATACTTCACCACTGTCAGAGGAGTTGTAAGAAGAACTGTACTTACAAGATCTCATCGTTCTCAAACTCCAGGACTCCATGTGTGTCCTCAAAGTCCTCCCCGCCTCCTTTTGCTGTCCCCTCTATGGTTTTGTATGGCACCACCACAACACCGCGAGCTCCCGAGGTCCGGATCACCTTCACTTCCATCACTCCGATGCTCTCACTCACGGTCACCACCGGTTCCTCAAATGTAAAGATCCCTGCATGGTCGTCATCGAAAATGGTGACAGTGGCTGTGCACGGTAGACCTAAGCTTGCCAGAGGGTCTGTGCAGTTTTCTTCATGCATCTGTGAGCCAGCACTTTCTGATATGACCCTCACATTGCTCAAGTGAACCAGGAAATGCTCGTCTTCCTCAAAGATATCATCATCAATAATGTCGATGCGGATTTCCTTTTCAGTCTCGCCTGGTTCGAACACAATAGTTCCTTCAGTGAACTGGTAGTCCGAGCCGGCGTTCGCAGTGCCGTCTTCAGTCCGGTAATCCACTGAAATTGTGCTCATTAGGTCTCCACCACGACGCACCACGTTCAGTGCTACACTCCCGCAGTTTTCCAGACACTGGTAGGTCCCGGGGTCGAAGAGCACCTTGGAGGAAAATGGGCTCGCTGACACCTCCGAGCAGATGTCGTGGTGGGCGGCTCTCTTGGCTTGGTCAGCAGCGTGCTTCTTTAGGATGTTGCCAGCTCCTGTCATGATCCTGGTCGCCTGACAGCGGTAGAAAGCCCGACTCTTTTGCTGCTGGGTCAAAACTTGATAATTAGCCAGCTCCATCAACTGCTCCATCTCCTTCTCTGGGTGCTTCTGTTTCAGCTCCTTCAGGATCCGGGCCACCTCTCTGCGGGCCTCCTCCTCGTCCAGCTCCTTCATATCAAAGCCCGTCTCTCCATCCGTGAACTCCTCTGTGTGGTAGTTGAGCATTTTGCCATCCATTTCAACGTTGACCTTGGAGGAAAGCTCTGGTTCTCCCTCGGTTTCGATGATCATCCCTTTCTGTTTCCCTGGTCTGTATCGTTTATACATGTATTTGTAGAAGAGAAGTCTGCGGTCGGCCACGTATGCAAACACAACACAAATGGGGAAGAAGAAGAGTGTGAGAAGCCCCTCCCAAATCTCAACAACACCTGGAGAGAAGACGGCCAGGATCAGATAAAGCCAGGTGTACGCAAAGACGCTCCAGGTGGCGGTGACGAAGAACACCCGCAGGTGCTTCACCTTTCTGGTCTGGCCTTCAGGGATGACGGACACACAAAGTCCAATGATGACAAACATGTTGAAGGCGGCACTTCCTACGATGGTATTGGGGCCCAGCTCTCCAGCATTAAAGTTGTGACCGCAAACCTCAACAACCGACAGGAGGATTTCTGGGGCGGAGGAACCCAACGCCATCAGGGTCAGGTTGGACACCGTCTCGTTCCAGATGCGCACCGTTGTTGTGATCTTCTCACCGTTTGGTTTCTTGATGGTGATCTGTCTCTCTTGGGAGGTGATGACCTCGATGGAAGCCATGAAGCGGTCAGCGATGATGGAGACACCCAGGAACATGTACGCCAACCCCACAAAGTAAATGGTGGCCCTGGCAAGGAGTTCAGTGAAGGCTGGGTTGTCCGGCTTCCATACTGCTATGCAGTTGGTACTCCCGCCACATTTACTGTGGTTGCTGAGTGTGCTGTTGGCCAGAGTAGCGCCCCCTGCTGCTGAACATGGAAGCTCAGCTGAGATGATGGCCAACAAGAAAAACAGCCGGCAGGTGGAGAATAGCGACGAGGTCCTGGCTCGGCTCATGGTGTCACTCCCTTAAACCTGCAAGATGGAAAGAGACGTCAGAACTTCGGCTTCTCTCAGATCATGTTTCAAACTAAAACATATGAAGAGCTGAAGTCAGCTCACCTCCAGTCACACACATGTTCCTTACATAAAGTATTTTCTCCTTAAGATTTCTTTATTCTCTCTACTTTGCAATCAAAACAGTTTAAGGCACCAAGACACAAAAACCAGATGGGCTCCATAGTCACAAAGCTGATAAAGGACAAAGAGACAAGTGGTGCATTTCACCACAACCTCAGAGAGGATCCTAAAAATACCAAAGTATCAATGGGACAGGTTTTCTCAAATTACTTTTACGCACGAAGTAAAATGAATCTGTTTACGAGTGATTCTCAGTAAAACTGGACTTTGTTGAATTGAACTGAGCTTGTACCATAAACATGTAACTGCTGTGTAGGCTCACACAGGAAGTGATGTTAAAAGATGCTCTTCACACTACTTTCTACGGTTTTTAACAATATTTTCACGACAGTTATTCTGATTCGTTCTTCAGTCGTTAAGCTGAACAAAGTAAATCCTGTTCATCATTCATCAAGTTTAAATATAAAGTTTCTGTAATGTGACATTTTGTCGGGTCTGCTCGGTGTGACCTGCCTCCCTTCCCCTTTCTCTCTCCTATTCTCTCATCCTGCAGGCTCAGCAACACAGCTGAGGTGCATCACCTCAATCAGCAGCTCGCTGGCTGTGGTGCACAGCGGAGGTTCATTCCCGCTGATTAAGTGGAGCCTATTTAATGCGTCCTCACCAGATCATTGACACTGACACGATGAGATTGACTGTCATCCTGGTCTTCTCAGTCTCCCTTACTCAACCCTGGTTTGGACCTCGTTAACCTATTGACTTTGTCCTTTTCACTGTTAAATATAGCAATAAAGACCCACTCTCACTAACACTTGAGTTTTCACCCTGAGTCCTCTTGTTAAATATACGAACACTTGAGTTTTCACCCTGAGTCCTCATTCTCTCTCTCCCTCTCACCCCCAGTGAGGGACATCTGTCCATAACACATTTTCTGCTTCGTATCATTGGAACTCGAATCCTTCCTGATGCTGAAGGGCAGTTAAAGTCCACACTGTGACACTTTATTTGACTGACATTAAAGTAGAATTTACTTCCATTGTTCAGGGAAGATCACTAGTGTTGTTCATTCCTATTTATCTTAAGTATTTATGATCCAATAATTGATGAGTTGTTCATCCATCACATTAACACTGATATCTGGACTTTTATCAATACACACGTTACATACACTAAATTTAACTGTCATAATTCAAACAACTTCTTAAACTGACTTAGGAACACAAAGAACAATTAGTGCATCACATATAACATGACCACACCATTCTGGTTTATTCTAGCAGTGTACTGCTAAACCGCAGTATTGCACAGTAACACTGCTGTACATCAGACTGCATACAGACACTATGTTATTTTTGTATACCATATACTCAGACTACATGGCTGTATCTTCTACTACACTGCAGTATATCAGGACTTTGTCCTCAGTGCAGTGAACTGAAGCAACAGTAGAAAACCTGAAACCTACCGTGACTCCAGCTGCCTCGGTGTCTGACAGAAGCCTGAGGAGAGTTTTTATCCCGGAGGCAGAAACGCAGCGTCTCCTCCAGAGAAACAATGAAAGTCTGATGCCAGACGATGTGGAGACGAGGAACAGAAACACCAAAGCTACATGCTGCTGTGTGCAACACGACCGCTGGTGATCCAGCTCCGCCTCCATGTCCGCCTGTTAACACTTTCACTCTACCAGTTAATCTAAACCTGGAGCTGAGGGAGACGACTCCAGGAGGAAGAAAAGCCACACAAACTGCACCATCACACAACAGCTGTCTGTCACACACTCAGCATAACAGTCACATTTTGTGACAACAAAACCAGACCTCATCATCTCCCAACCCAAAGAAACGTGCAGAGACGAAGGACGTGCCACCTGCTCAGCTCACCATGAGGAACACTGTGAGCTTCTCACCCTGAGCCTCTGTTGGATGCACAAGTGTCTCGAGTCAGACTCACTCTCAGCTGCACAAACGTGCTTCAGCCTGATGAGCATCTGCTGTTTATTTCATTCCCAGAAGGAGTAAACAGAGCTTCAGGTCCTGCTGGTGATTTATTAACAATCAGTTACCGTGTGAGAGCCAAGCTGACAGAAAGCTCTGGCAAGTTATGGAGCAAAGCTGCCCATGACGCTGCTGGGAGGAGGCCGGGCAGAGGTACAGTAGCAGCCATGGGCACACAAGGTCAGAGAATATTACACAGGTGGTGTTACACCTTCATTCCGGCACAGGACCCCGGACACAAAGGGTTCTGCAACAAGTCGCCGGAGAGAGGCACTGAAACCAACCAGACAAGAAACAGAGTCAAACCCAGCAGAGAACGTCTCCATCTCCTCACTGTCACTCGACCATGTGAATCCTCTGCAGTGTCTGATACAAGTGAACACGATGTCATGAAGTACAGAAACGTGTGAATGTTCAGTTTTGACCCAGACTGCTGTCAGAGTCCTGCTCCACTCACTGCGGCTGACAGCACACTTGTGTTCAGTGAGGATTGCTGTCAACATCCCAGGTGTGTTCGCCTTCACTCTAACCCCACGTGAGCTGGTTTATAGGCTCTGGATAAAGAGCAGTAAGTCTCAGGTACCTTTCCCTCCAACCCACATAACAACTCCGCCTGTGGAGCCCTACAGCTGCGGCACCATGCCCACAAGAAGAGAGGATGTGATGGAAGTCTAATGTTTCTGTTAGGTTCATGTGTAAATGTGAGGAAGGCCACAGCCTCCTCATCGATCCACACACACCAGATGGTTTCACTGGAAGTGACAAGCGACCTTTAAGTCAAGTGCAAAACATGTTTGGACTCATTGTCATCTGTTTTTAATGTGCAAACGGATGCACACAAAGACAAGTGGACACATTTTGTCCACATTTTGCTGTCGTGAGGAAACACGGCGAGACTGCTGCTGTCGCCTTGTGTGCATGTGTCAAAGTGCCCGAGCATGAAGACGATGTAAATAGGTGTTTTACAGCTTGGAGCCAGAAGCTGCAGCAGCCTGGCTGCGATGGAGCTGTGAGTGTTGCCTTGGCCCAGAGACCCAACACACACACCTCAAGTCCTGACAGACTCAGGCTGCAGTGTGTGTGCAGTACAACCTTCTCTGCTGTGACGTACAAAGTCATGTTACAGAACTCGTGAGGGTCTGTATGTCGACTTCATTTACCCATCAGCCATCTGTGTGTTAGCCTGATCTCCAGGCTGCTGTGTCCTCTGTGTGATTCAACCGTTTTGGGGGCTGATCCTGGGTCAGACTCTGGGAGAGCTCCGTGTCAGGTCTTTATTTCAAATCCTTACATTTACGTTCATCAGCTCTAATGTGTCTTTGAAAAGAGGAGCAGGCTGCAGCCAGGGCCGTCCTCTCTCTCTCTCTCTCTCTCTCT